CCTGGGTGCCACACATTATCCTCCACCCCACAACCTGTAAGATAGATCATTAAATAACAGCTTGACCAGCGATCACACCTCACATCAAAATCTCACTCATCCCTCCTGGTCTTCAAATCCCTTACCTCACCAAGATCTATAAATGAACGACTGGTGCCTCCCGAGATACGGCGGGGCACTATTAGTAGGTGCCAGTGTTGATGGCGGGCAGGGACCGCCCGCAGACCCCAGCAGCAGTTTCAGTGGCAGCAAACAAGGACCGCCTGCAGACACTGCTGGCAGGGGGGTAGTGGCAAGTGGCAACCACCCACAGAAGCCTGGCTGCCACCACCAATCTCCCTCCTGCACATCTGATCATCATCAGAAACAACCTCTGCCGATCAAACACCAAATGGAAAAAGAACCTGCCTAAATAACAAATGCAAAACCTACCAACACATGTTCATTGTCATGATGACCAACATAGCATGCAAGAAAACCATCAGATTCTACACATACCTATAACAAAATATGATACACCTCATCTAATGCACCAAATGCCCTCACAAACTAATGGGAGATTTGGTTTCATCCATATACTGCAGAAGGAATATCACGCAATAATGATGAGAGAGAGGAACAACCCATTAGCAATAGAAGGACACTTTTCACAACACAACTGCTTCATCTCATAGTCCCAGTTCTCAGAGAAAACCTATAGAAAAAGATGGGCCTGGGAACAGACACTTGTAACTTAATGTAAACAAGGGTTTTGTGGCGCACAGCTTGCCATGCTCTATTGGTAAGGGTCTACCCAACTCAAGGTGGCAGCAGGTCAACTTCACAGGAAGATAGCAGGGCTGGCCACCATTTTCTTGGGCCGATTGCAGCAGGGGCCCACACCCCCCACGTGCTTCTGGCCAAGGGGCCCTGATAGACCTGCCCCTTGCCACTGATTAGTTGTGAGGGTTGTCCGTCACACAGCCCTACCCCTTGCTGTGGACTGGAGGAGTGAGGCCACATGACAGGCAGCACTCTCAGCCAATTCGTAGCAAGGGGTGGAAGGTATGGCCATCTTGGGCTCCCCTTTGTGCGAGCAGCCTCCCTTCCTTCTTCCCCTTGGCCAGCTGCCTGGCTAGCCATTTCCCTTTGAATAGTCTTAATGTATACTTACATACCAGTTCTGCTCTTTACCTGGTCTGTAACTACTTGTAAGCAGAGAGGTCAGTCTGAAGTCAGAGTAGAGAAGCACCTTATAGACTAACTTAGCTTCTTTCCTAAACATTTTGTCTAACATCTCCAAACTGAAGTTGGTCCAATAAAAGATACTACCTCACCTCAAATCTTGCTTCAGAGGATCCTAGGGACAAGACCATGCCTTGTGATGGGAAGGCAAACTCCCCAGTCCTTACCAATCTGAACTGTTCTGCATAACACACAAATTCCCTCCTGGTCCCTGCAGCCAGCCAGCAAAAGCACCAAAACCTGGGATTATCAGACACCTACCATACCATAAGAGTTACCTCTGCTCCTGCAGTAGGATTGTAAATATCTGAATCCATGCTGACACACTGATTACCAGAAACTATGCATCTTACCACACCATCCCTTCCATAAATGCACTGAATTGTATCTTAAAGAAACAGATTGTTTCCCCCCACAACACTGCCCAGAAGTGACTGAAATTTTTAGTCCTATAATTGGAACTCTATTTCCCATCCCAATTTGTTCATAACAAGCCATTTCATTCTGTGCTTTTCCCAAAAAAAACTCTTCTCCATCCCTAATATTCATCTCACAAATGCCTCTGTAAAAACTACTCATATCCCCTACCAATCTGTTTTAAGCTAGAACAGCAGTTCTGAAACTTTTTAGACTCAAGGTACCCTTCAGAAAATCTTCACTTTCACTTGTTTTTAATGGTGGCAAAAAAGCACAGTAATTCATTTACTGCAAAGAACTCAGAAAGACCGTAACAAGTCGGCGTGTTTTTCATGCTGTGGATTTCTATTTGAAATCTCTAGATTTATCTTGTGAATCTTGTGTAGATACTTATGCACTAATCATAGTATGTCACCCTGGTTGAGGATCACCAAGCTAAACAAACAGACCTACTTTAATCTTCTTTCATAAGAAAAGGTTTTGATTTCCTTTACCATCGTAGTGGCCCTTCCTTGAACCGGCTCGAATTTAAGTTAATGTTTTTTAGACATCAATAACCAAAACTGAGCATAGTATTCCAAATAGCGTCTTGCCAACACATTGCAGTACACAACTAGCCCTTGGGTGTGGCTACTAAATATACCCAATCTTATACACCCTAGAAACATGTTATTTTTAGGGGATCAGCATAACTTACTTCACATGCATCATCACTGAGTTGCATTAAAAAAACCAACATTGCTTTGGACCTGTGGGGTCTAACCTTTTTGGTGCGTGCACCACAAATCCAGCCCTAAGAGCAACTCTGACCCTTCTCCTCCCCCATGTTTCTCTGCTCCATCCCCAACCTATCACATGCCGCACACAGGCTTCCTGTGCCACTTGCGGCATGTATAGCCACCTTTGCTTGTACATCAGCTAGAACAGTCATCTACCAGGTATTTTAAAGCTCTGTATCAGGGGTCTCAAACTCACTTGGAGCCCTGGATCAGAACCAGGTTACAGAGGCTCCTCCAGTGCTGGATCTGCAGGGCTCCATTTGGACAGCTGCATTCAGGCAGTGCAGAGCTGAGGCATGGGGCAGGAGAGACCCCTAGCCAGGCATGGAGCTGGAGCTAGGCATATGCAGCAGCACACTGACATGACTAGGAGCAGCAGTACCCAGGCTCCATGCCCCCACACAAATATGGCTTGGTAGTCACATGCCCCCCAGCTGTGCTGCTGCCCAGGCAGAACTCCACCCAGCTGCAAATCCATGGTTCACACTGATGCATGGCCCCAGCTCTGCACTGCCCAGACAGCTCCATGCCACTGTGCACCCTCCAGTCTGCACACCCTGGCACTGGAACAGTCCTGAGGAGTTCAATGCTATTGCCCAAACTCAGCTCTATACACACATACTGCTGGATCTGACACTGCCCTGCCAAAGGACAGCAGAGCTGGGGGTGTGCAGGTACACGGAGCCAGTCAGGCAGTGGCAAAGAGCTGAGGGTGGGGAGAAGCTGCCACCAATCATCTCTGCTGCACTTTGGTAGCCTACAGCCCACCAGACTACCTGCAGGACAGATGGAAGTTTTGCAGGCTGGAACCATGCCATGGGTGGCCTTGCTTAACACCCCTCCTCTATATTACAAGCTGTAGTCAAGAGGTTCATGTTTCAAAAGGTGGCTTGTCTTAATACAAAACAGTTTGCAGACATTGAAGACAAGAATCCTTAAATGAGTTTTTCTATTTACATCAATAGGATCTGCTATAAGTAAATCAATACTCAGTCTTACTCTTTGAACCTGGACAAATGTTGCTAATCCAGTGCTGGGTTGTTTCTTCTTTAAAAAAAACAAGTGCATTTCACCTGATTTATATACAGGTATTTTAACACTTACATTACAAGAAACTGAGAACAGACCTATCCCTCTCTCCTTTACAGTACTTCAGTTAAGTTTACTTTATCCTGTGATCCAAATCAGATCTTATCAATAAGTAAAACCCGCAACGCTCCCTGTAAGATATCCATTTCCTTCCACGTAAGAGTAGAGGGTGCATACATGAAGCCAGTTGATTGGACTCACTATCTGCAGCAGCGTAGGAGATAGCATCTAGACTAATAAATAGCATCACCAGATGTGAACTTTTCAAAAAAGGTTTTCAACTTATAGCCGCATGCTCACATACTAGTACAAATCTAGACTCAAGCCCCATAATTCCTCAATACTTTCGCACTACTACTATAGCTCGTCAGATACTACGTATGTAAGCTTGAGAGTTAGTTATTATGACACTGCACTTCATGTATATAATTGCATCAGTCTTGCTACCTTCATTAGAAGCACAACTGTCATAAATTCTGAACTAAAGATATTGGAAAATTAACCTGTAGTGGGTTCTAATACCTTTTCCTCAAACAAAATTAGTTGGTCCTTTTACCCAACCCCCCCCCAATGCAACCAAGTTACTTTTGAGTTCTAGAGAACTTGTATGAGCCATGTTTTTTTTTTTTTTTAAATCTTGAGGCTTCTATTTGCAGACTGCTCCTCAGTGAAGCTTGTTCATATCCAGACCCTTCCCAAGAGATCAAACAGCTCAACAAAAAAAAAAAAAGAACCACCACAAACAAAAAAACCCAAACCACACTCCCTAAGATGAGGGCCCTCTTCCTCCATCTCCAACTGCTAGAGACAGTGCCAGCATAGACCGACTGTGCTAAGAGCAAATCTGCTCCTGACATTTAGTAAAATGGACATGTCTGGGCATAACAGTGCTTAAGCTTTTTAAAAGCAGAAGACAGACAAGCAGGATAAGACAAGACTTACAGCAGCCACGCAACTCCTGCTGAAAGTGAGCAAGGGGAATGATTCTTTCCTGTACCCGGACTCCATCTAACAGCCTGATCTGGACACAAAATGACATGAAGGAAATAAGCCACAGCACTATCCATCCCCATCCAGCCCTGACTACTATGTGTGTTAAAAAAAAAACGTATTCCTTCCTACAATACATTCTTCCATTGTACCAGCCATTTGCCAAACCAATATTTAGGGAAGTAAGTGTCCAAGTTATCCACAACATAATTGGCACATTGGTGGTTCCTAGTTGCCTCATAACTTAAACCCAATTCTAGTGCCACACTTCTGAAGCCTAGAAACAAAAATCCAGAAAAACACCTGCCAGTCCTCCCCCATGGCACCAATACAGCCAGCCAGTAAACAAATTTGATACTGCAGAGAAGAATATTCCAATGGTTCAATATTCCAAGTCTCACATAAAGCAGCAACAGTGGAGATACTTCAAATGAGAGAAAACTGCTTGCTTTCTTAGCATTAGCTCTGGCAATAACTCAATAAACACATTCAACAGAAAAGTAATAAAAACAAAACAAAACAGCTTTATACTTTATTTTCTGTAAAAATCTTTACACATGCAGACTAAAACCAGTGTAAGAAAGTATTCACCATTGTTTAAACAAATAACTATACTTAAATATAAGTGTCTGCAATTGGCTTGTATAAAAATAAGTTGTTTTTTTTTTTCTTTTTACAGAAATCTGTTCTCCAGTTTTTATAGACATACAATACACAACTCTAATACATACAATTTATCCTGATCATTGTTTTCCATCAATGTGATACTGCTAAGGTATTATGTGCAAATAAAAACAAAAGAAAAAGAAAAACAACGTAGTTCTTTAAAACGAAAAAGTTCTACATGTTTTAGAAAATTAGACATTGGGCTTTAAATAAATCAAATCCTAATCATTTTTTTTTCCTGAAATAAGAGTCCATGTACTGTATTATATACATGTTCAACTAGTTTGGGGGCAGACTCAGCCTCAGCGCCTGTGTCTGCCATGTCCTGAACGACTGCTACTATGGTGCTTGCCTTTATGAGATCTCTCAAAGGAGCGGGATCTTTCACGCCTGTCCCTATGATGTCCACGTTCATGTCTATGCTTCTTAGCAGCATCAGAATGATCCCTGGATTTGCTCTGAGAACGTGAGCGAGACTTTTTCCGTTTGTGACCATGTCTATTTGCACTCTTCAACTCATCCCTGCTGTGCTTGGCTTTTAGGTGTGGAGACGCATGATTATGATGCCTGCGAGGACTGCCACTGTGACTGCGGGACCTACTTCTTGACCTGGAGCTGTATGTTCCAGAGAGACTCCTCCTATTGTTGTAACTTAGAGAAAAAGTAAAAAGGTAAACATCCTAACTTTCAATATGCTGTGTAAATAAAATATGAAATTTCAAGTCAGTTGTTACAACTAGAGAATTTAGGAAGAAACTCCAGAAAAGAAAACAAACATTCACTGAGCCCAAGGCAAGAGGCTCCCCCTATCAAATGAGTACTTCAATAATGTTTTCCTAAGTTTTTCAAAACAGAGCTGCTCTTTAGGAATCCTTTCCCTCTCAACCTCACCATAAGCCTCCACACTGAAATGCAGAACTTAAGCAGCTATTGCTTTTCACATTTTACAAACAATGCTCACATTCACGTTCCAGCTATTATAGGGATTAGACTCAACTTGCAGGGCAGTTCTCATCTACATTTTAGAGCCCTTTTTTTGGTATTTGTTTTTAAGATAAGCAGGAATGACTGCATCGATCAGATATACATAAATGCTTCCTCGGTAATCACATCTAAAACATGCCTCAATTCCTAAATGGTGCAAATGAAGTCAGGATTTGGATTTCCAATAGTACATGAGTGCTTTTATGAATACCGCTACTATTGTTATACAGCTTCACACCACAAGTTGGGGAGCAAGTTGCAACAGGCATTTGAAATGCCAGAAGTTTGCTGCTATGCAAGACATTTCAATTTCTTAACCGTTTAATGGTTTTTTAGTCAGAGAGCACGATAAATATATACTTTTGTAGACCAAGATGTATTATGAGCACAAGCTTTCGTGAACCATTATTATGGTTTTAAATGAAACACAAAGAAAATTCTTACAGATCTTGAACCATTACATTTTATGCAAGTACTGGCTTGTTTGAAAATCATAAGACCAAGTTATTCTACCACAGTTAAAATCTTAGCATAAAACAATTTATTTCACTTACAGTAAGAATATTCTTAAGCCATCGAACTGCATTAACAGTAGTATATTTGCTGAACAGCAAAGTTTATAAGTATGTCTCAAAACATACCTCAAACTACTGCAAGATCATTCACTAGAAGAAACTACATTTTGAATAATCCTCTAGAAGACAATGAGGCACGCAAGAATTTTATACTTACTGTCTCCTAGGAGTATGTGATCGAGATCGGGACTTTGTTCTTGACCTTGATCTACTAGCACTTCTACTGCTTCTGCTTCGCTTGCTTTCTTTCCTCATGCTTAGAATAAAAATTAAAGTTAGGAAAAGCCTTGAACCGTCTGCACTATTTTCATGAAATAAAGTGAAAAAAAGACTAAACCTGAAATCAGTTTGGTGTTATTCAATTCACTTAAAAGCAAAGGCTTGCTTTTGCTTGGATTTTTACCTACCCATTGTAAGGGCTCTTTGAAGCTAGTTGCCTTTCTTCTGGCTCTTTTTTGACAGCTTTGGCATTCAGAGATACTGGAGTCTTCTCTTCCGTTTTCATCTCTCTTGGGGAACCTAAAGGAGATTCAAGGTTAATTCAAGGTTAAGATGTAATCTAGTGGTAGGAATTGGCTATCAAGAAGTAATTTTCCTTAATATATTTTATGCAAGTCCTAACCCTTTTATATGAATGCTCACTGAATATGATACTTGGAAACCGACTACTGCTTCATTCCTTCCTATTTTTAATTCTTTCCTAAAAATAAAGTTTATGTAAAAAGTGTATAGCTACAAAAGATTTTTTTCAACAGTCTGCAAACAGCTACATTTAAGAGATGCAAGCAAAGTCCTTTTTGAAATGTGTGACATTTTCTAACAAATTTCCTAAACAAAAACAAAGAACTGTATTCCTTTGGCTCAAGCATATATAAAACACCTCATGAAATAAGGCTCGCCTAAACACTCTTCACATCAGAAATACTACCTCTCTCAAACCTACCTACAAGCTTTGGAGCCTTCCTAGCCCCACTCCATTTCTTTAAAATAATGGGAAAAGGTGCACTTTGTAGCTCATGCCAAAGATAAGAACTGAGCCATGTTAAACGACAGATTGGGTGAAAACTGAAGCAAGCCTTTGTTCATTCTGGCCCCATGTGCTGAACACAATTCAAAATCCAAACTAACCTACAGCTGAACTCTGTGAAATGCTCCACCTACAATCAGTCCAAGACACCTAAGCATCCAGGCATGAGAAAAAAGGATTGGTGTAGTTACAAAGTGGATTTTTTCCTCTCAGCAAAGGGAATTCCATAGCAGAGTTGGTTCATATTAGCCTTGCTGACCTGGAAGACTGGTGTTTAAGATGAGAAGAAATGCTGCTTAGTTTCCCTGATCTACTTTTTTTTTTAAAGAGTCAAGGACCATATAACTTAACTAATAAACTAACACCTTCCACCTTACCAAATGGGGTAGAATTGCCATTGACTTATTCTGAATGCCAAAAGATTCTATGGCTTGTTTTGTTTTTTAAGATTCAGACCTTTGGATTTTCAACATTCTTTGCAATAACATGGGCAATCAGGCTATTTTGCAAACACTGTTGCTTCAAAATGTTCCTTGCAGCATGGATAGAGTTAGTTACTGACTTATATTTAAACACAGCCATACTGCACAACAGAACATTAATCCACAAAGCCTAAACAAATTTCTGCATTTGCTGGCTGTTCACACTCACAGGAGTGCTACGTAAATGCACTGAAACAAAATTTTAAAACTACTATGGAGGGAGATTTTAGGAACAGCTGTTTAGCAAGACGTAACAGGTAGGTAAGTAAATTACTTGAATTAGATATGTCACTTAAAATAGTCATCCTGGCAGCCTGTAGGCTGCATGTGGTCCATAAGGGGTTACACATAAAGCTGCTGCAGCTCTTATTAACCCAGCTATGATAGCAGCTGAGCTGTCAGGGCTCCCCTCCTTCTCCCAGCTTCTGCTGCATACCCCGGCCCAGGGAATGGGGTACTGTGGCACAATGCAATGCAGCCCCCACTGCCTAGACACTAGGAGCTGAGGACACTCATGCAGTGTGGCACCACAGGGGAGCTCACAGGGAATTGAAAGCAAGGTGGCCACATGTGCTAGGGGGAGGGAATGTCCACCCACTCTCACACGTCCTGGGGGCCCAATGGCTCCTCACAAGTGCTGATCTGACAAAAAATACTGTACCACACAGTCTTCTTGAAAGACTGCCATATGAAAATACAGCTTATTTTAAGCTCTTGCCAATTATTTGAACTCATTATTATTAAACCAAAAAACCCAAACAAAACTTTACATTTCCCACATACGTCTATAGTCAAAACACATTACTGAATGATGAATATCATTGATGTACTTCCATTAATGGCAATAACAAAAAACATATCCCAAAATGACACACGGAGTACAGACTAGAGTTTTCTTTCAATATTGCTCTACCATAAGGTTGTTAATAATTGGTTTTCATAAAAATCCAACAACAGAAGTAAAAAATGTATAGTATTCAACCACTAAAATCTTAAGTTATAAATAAATCCTACTGCTCTATTTTATCTCATAATCTATCCAACTGCACTAAAGTCTAAAATCAAGACATTTGTATAGTAGTACAGAAGAGATGACTACCCTGTAGGCTTGGCACATGACTGACAACAACTTACATGGTTTGGAAGCAGGAGAAAAACCACCCAAAGTTGAAAGTGCTGGAGTCCCATCAGGATTTAATCCCTTTGCTTTTAATTTAGCTTCCTGTAGTGCCATTTTCCTCTTTTCTACTTCTTTATCCAACAATTCATAATTTGGCTGTAAAACAAACAAATGAAAACAAAACAGCCAGTCAGGAATTTGGACCAAGATTATTTCTATTCTGCCTTCTTATACTACAATCACTGTAACAGCACCAAAATGCCAACCACCAATGAAGCAATTCCACTAAGATGACCGCTTTTTCCTTTTTGATCTTCGACCCAAAGAGACTTTACACACCATCATTTTGTTTTGGTTGAGTTACACTTCAGATCATCACAAGGTGCTGTATATAAAGCTGCTTTAGTGAAGATGGTTCTCTCACCATTTACTTAGTTCTATAATACTGGTTACCTTTTTCCTAGTGTACAGCTTAAGAGTTGTTAGACATATCTCCTGAATCTCCTCTTCTGTGGTACCAAAGAGCAGAAACCAGTGAGGACGGGTAGGTAGTGGAATCTAAAAAATGAAACCAAGTCTTAATACATTACAGTTAGAAACATATTCTGACATTTAATATCTTCATTGATCTCGTCTTGTAACAATTAGTTATTTGTTAATTAATGCCATGCTAAAGTATTAACAAAAATAACCCTTACCTGCAGAGCTCTCGCAGCAAGATAAATACAAGCACATGCTATTGTCTCAGGTTGAAAGCGAACAAAGACATTGGTTCTAAGGCTGTCATTCATGTAATTCCTGGCAGGGGGAAAAAAAAATTACAGTTATAAGCTGGGTCTCACATTTACATAGCACTTTAAAATAAGCCACAAAATTGGAGACTCAATCTACTTTATTATTTTTTCTTTAAGATATATCCAATACTTTGTTGTTCCAAACTGCAGTAATTCTACAGTTGTCATTTTTAAGAATTCAAATTGTTACTTTAGTTGTATAATGTCAAAATATGTCCTACTGTCTTTGCTCTGACATGTCAGTGCAAGAGCTACCTTTCACTTTAGAACTGTTTCTGAAACTTCTTTCAAAACGTGAGGAATTTTTGCAAGCACCCATTCTGATTAATTAAAATACGTTCAGCTGTGCAATGAAAAGTCCAATCAAAGCTTAAAATGGGGGGGGGGGTGAAATCTAGGCAA